GCTCAGAGGGCCGCGCAAGGCACGTCATGCTGTAGAAGGTAGGAGGCAGTGGTCGCAGCGCCTCCCTCAGAGATGGTCGACGCGCGAGATTTATGCCATGTCCTGAGCCTCGAGTGCCTCGCGCCGGGCTGGGCCGCTATGCTTCACCGGCAGGAGGTGAGGTGCGGGGAGAGGGCGTGAGCGTCACTGAGACTGATAGGAGGAAGCGGGGCGTGGCTCAGGTAGGTGGCGTGTTTGGGCGCCGGGGACGGCAGGATCGAAGGCGCGCTGGGGATTAGGGAAGGAGGTGGCTGAAATCGTGGTGGCGGCGGGGGGAGGTGACGGGAGGCGCGTTGGTCGGGGGAGAGGTGAGCAGAGGTACGACCGCAGGGGGAAGGTGGCCGGAGGCGTGGCTGCTGGGGGAGAGGTGACCAGAGGCACGGCCGCAGGGGGAAGGTGGTCGGAGGCGCAACCGCAGGGGCAAGGTGGCCGGAGGCGCGGCCGCCGGGGAAAGGTGGTAGATGGCGGCGCGGCGGTCGGAGGAAGGTGGGCACGATGGTACTCGGGGTCAGGGTGGGTTGACCCGATCCAGATTCATTTTTTGTTCGCGTACCGGTGGAGAAAAACGCAACCCGTCCTATGTAGGGCGCCAGGGTAACAGAATATTATTCTGTTACTAGTAACAGAATAGTCCAGCCCTATATATATATATATATATATATATATATATATATATATATATATATACCCTTCTTGAACTGATGAATTCAAGCGGTTGAACTGATGAAATTCGAGCGGTTGAACTGATGCTTCTGTTGGTGTTAAAAATCGTCTTCTTTAGTTCAATTTTTTTGTAATTTTTTTTTGTTAAAATGGGGCGTGTAATATATCATTGGAAAGCTCTTGACATCCACATTACAGTCTTATAATTTGTTTTTGTATGATTTAAGAGCAATTTTGAAAAAAAACGTTTCATAACCGAAAACACGAATCGTATTTTAGACTTAATTTTCAAACGGTTTGTCGGAATTGAGAAAATGAGATGGCGTTGGAAAGCTTGTGAAAATCTGCATCTTCCATATATCTATTCTTTTTCCAAATTCTATATAATTTAAAAGTAATTTGAAAAACAGTGAAATTCTGGGCGAAATGTTTTTCACTGTTTTTTGCAAACGGTTGGTCGGATTGACGCACATGGTATGGCGTTGGAAAGCTAGGAAAATGTGCAACTTTTGCGTATAGAAAGTCTTTTCTAATTCCTTACAGTTTAAAAACAAATTTGAATACAGTCAAAGTTGATTTCGAACGCGATTTTTTTAAAAGTTTGTCGAAATGGGACAAATAATATACCGTTGGAAAGTTATCGAAAATGTGAAACTTAGTCGTGTTGAATGTTTTCTCAAATTCGCAACCGTTGAAGAGTAATTTGGAATACGGTGGGACACGTCGTGCTGTTTTTCCGTCAGAAAAAACAGAGTAATTGTACTGATCTACGTGTGCGTTTGTAGTGATGTATTTTTTCATAGAGTAATTTTGAGAGGTTCCAAAAAAAGAGTACTTGAACGGATGTCCGTATGGTTTTGTACTGAGCGTATTTTCACATACTAGACTTTACTATGTTCTTTCTGTATGGTTATCCTCGTAACTTTTCAACGGTTCATGGTATTATCATTCTCGAACTTGCATGATTTATATCGTTGAACTGAATGATTTTTTAAAAGAAAATGTTTAGGGGTTGATCACTTGAACTCGTACTGATCTCCTTATGAGTTTGTACTGAGCAAGTTTCTATAGACTAGAATTTACTCTATTTTTTGGGTACGGTTTTCTTCATAACTTTTCAACGGTTTATGATATCATCGTCCCTGAACTTGCGCATGGTATATATCGTTGAACTGAATGACATTTTTTTTCAAAAAGAAAAGTTTTGTGTCTTTTTTTAACTCGGCATCTTTTTTTTCAACGGTGCTTTGGACTTCTCTCAATTTACTACTTGAACTTTTACCATTTTTGATTTTCCATGGGTTTCTTTTTTGTTTGAGCTTTTTTTCCCAACCTCATCTGGGATGTCATGTTGAACTTACAACCTTTTTTAATTATGAACTTATTGTGCTTTTACAATGCCAAAGCTAGCAAGTAGTAGGACATTCACCCAACTTTTTTAATCCAAACTGATTATTCTCTTTAATTTGAACTGATCATTCATTTTTCAGAATTCAATCTAATCATGGCTTTTACTTCAAACTGATTTTTAAATTCAAACTAACCATTTTTTTCATTTTGAACTGATCATTGTTTTAAATTTGTACCGATTAATTGTTTTTTATGTAAACCATTTCTTTCATTCTTGCATGCACAGCAAACGGTCATGTATACCTTCTATGAAGAAGTAACAATCATATCATCATAGACAGAAAATTTTCCACACATATAGTACATGTACATGAATGACATATACAACACACCAGCTCCACATTAGATGAATGACATATACACCACACCGACTGCACATTTTCATATTATCCATAGCACCCACCACAACACAAAAATCACAGGCCTTTTTCTTGCACAGCAAATGTTCAAGCACACCCACATGACAACAATAATAATCATCAGAAAATAAAGTGCTTTCGCACAAGGGTACAAAAAAATTTCCACCAGTGCAAAGCTTGAACCGGCCAAACACTATTGTTCTCTAACACACATAGGAACTTATAGCAATTGGTCATTTGAACCAATAGCAATAGAAATAAGAAATGTGTACACCCATACAACTTTGCATCATCAAAATCTAGAGTTAGAAGACATATACATATGATGAGGTTTCTTGATGGAAAAATATGCATATGATGCGCATGTAGGAGCAGACAATCTGGTTTCGGTGTGCATTAAAAAATCTTCACAATAAAACTTCAGTGAGAAGACAAAGGCTACATTTACTGAATCTGCAATAGTAATTAACAAAGAATTAATCTACATGAACAACGACAAGCCTGAAGCTCATCAATACATAGAAATATCTAACACTACCACAAGATTTAGAAAGATGTGTAGACACACAAAAGTTGCCACCATAGCATATGAAGTCACAAAACTTTCCACAAAGTTTCACATGTTGTACAGGCACACAAGCTTCATAGCAACCACCTGTTGGCATACTTTCCATATATTGCTATTTGACTCAAGGTTGTGTACTGGTCATAAGAGGTAAGCTGCACTACTTGTATTTTTTCCAGTAAAAGAAATTATGAAGATACCTCTAGTAATGTAAGATTTGCTGAGCCAAATGCCCATTGCATTGCTACAGAAAATATTGATTATTTTCTTTTTCCTTAGTGGTGTCACTGCCTTCAGATTAAAATGTAGGAGGAACATGGACATGGACATGCACGGTTCTGCATGTTGAACTCCTAGCAATCTCACGCCTCTGCAAGCCATTGAGCAGCTGAGAGGAGGGAGCTGCTCCACCGGCCACTGTGTATTGTGACGCTGGGCTACTAGAGCTATGCATGGATAGGCTCGATGGTGAGTGCACAGGGGTGGTGGAAGAACAGGTAGGGCCTCCGGCGATGCCCGGAGCTGGCACAAGGCGCATCGGCCTTCTTCGACCGATGCTCCGTTGGCTGATGCCAGAAGTAGAACTTCCTGGCCTTCCAAACTAGTACTGAAGACAAGTACCAAAGAAAAACATGCATCGGTATTTAGAAGGCGTACAAGGGCTACACACTGCCGTGAGGTACCAAAAAACACAATAGTTTGTGCATCTTTTAACACAATGACATTTTATGGAACTACTTCTGCATTTAGACATCCTATGCTCTCATACAGATTAACACAACATCTTGTGTGCTAGAAAGAACATAGTAACATAAGTGAGTGAAATGCATTTTTCTCTCTTTTAGGAATAAGCACAAATACCTTCGGGGCACAAATGCTAGCCATCAATAGTAGCTCAAAAGGCTATTTCTTCCTGAAAGAATTCTTCAATTTCTAAAACTAAGAGTATTTTCAATTGAACTTGCCTGGAATTAAAACTTGTACTCTAGTTCCAGTACAAGTATCATGCATATAGTCTGTAAATAAATAAAAAAGATGCAGAATTTACAGAAGAAAAGGTTAAAATAGAAGTTGAAACAACAAAGAAACTATGAAGCAAATAGCATCAGTGATCTTCTAACTGAAGCATCATACTGTACTGATATTTTTTTTGTCAATGAACTTTTGCAATATAGGTACTAGAACTCACTGATGCTATTTACTCTTCATTTTTTAATGGCATTTTAAGTACATGCCGAACATCAGTTTTTTTAAACACATCCACAGTTGAAATGGATCAGTACATGATGAACAATGTCAGTTTTCAGAAGTAAAACTTGCACTGAATCGGTTAAACTTCTTTTTTGCCGAGCTACTAATTTTTTAATATATAGCCACACTATTTTTTTGAACACACACATTGAACCGTTGGGGTTCTTAATGAGCTGATGATAGAAAACACGTTGAACTCAAATTTGGGCTTACATAACTACCAAATGTTTTGGGTTCTTCTATGAACCTTTTTGTTATCTTTTCCTGAACTCCAAACCACAATTACAATTACAATACACACATGCACTACACAACAGTGTGTATTTTTTACTGTCCATAACAACAAATTAACCAAAAACAACTAATTTATTAAGGAAACAGTTTTTAAACTTGGGTTGAGCTTCGTTTCTTCAGATTTTTGAACTCCTGCAGCAGGTATACCTGAACTTGCGTGACACATTTTGATTTAGTTCAAAGCAGCTGATTTTTTAACTCCTGCGGCTAACATACTTTTGTTGCTCAACAACAAAACAGAGCTTGATTTATATCAGCAAAGCAAAAAGTTGGCTGGAGATTTTGTTCCTCGCATCTAGACAAATTTAAAAGTTATAAGAAGAGATATTCTGTCAGACGCAGAGCTTTTTAGTTACCCTGGTGCTGAAATAGTAAGCCGGCTGGACTGAAAATCGCAGCAAACATGAACTGAAGATCGCTTAGCTCTTTCCTGCTGCCTCCTCCTGCAATTGAAAATTATTGCCATGTTAGAACTGAGGACCGAGGTAAATTTTTGGTGAAAGCCTGGCACAAATCACTTGACACAGACAAGCACATACCTCGCCCTTGTCCTCATGTATGGTCTGCACTTTGGGGTGTTTTTTGTGACGGCCATGAGTGGTGGCTGTGAACGGCCTGTGGTGGTGGCTGTGGACGGCCAGCGTCGTCATGTGAGTCTGGTGGGCCTAAATGCATTACATGAAAAGGGAAAGGGAGAGGAGTCACCAAACCTGACAAAACTTCAAGTGGATTTAGCAGTGGAGCATTTACTGAGTAGATAATGGAGTTGGCTGGAGCATTGATGCAAACCTGAACGTACGGGACAAGGGCCTCTATCCTTCCGTGCAGGCAAGTCTGAACTGATACAAACTTCTTTTTGCCTAGCTACTAATTTTTTCTATATATAGCCAGCTATTTTTTTTAACACACACATTGAACCGTTTCTGGGGTTCTTAACGAGCTGATGATAGAAAACATGTTGAACTGAACTTTGGGCTTCCAGAAACTACCGAATGTTTTTGGGTTCTTTTATGTACCTTTTTGTTATATTTTTCTCAACTCCAAGCCACAATTACAATCACAGTACACACATGTACTACAGAATTAACCAAAACAACTAATTTATGAAAGAAACAGTTTCTGAACTTGGTTTGAGATTTGTTTCTTCAGATTTTGAACTTGTGCAGAAGGTATGCCTGAACTTGCGTGAATGACAAAAATGACACATAGTTTGTTCTGCTTTTTCATAAGATGAATTGAAAACATAAAATGGAGTACCTCCGCGAAGCATCTCGACGAATTGGAGCTTGTGCATACCAGGAGGAGGAGGAGCACCTGATGGAGCATCTCAAAGACGGCGCCGCGCCTCCACCACGATTGTGCAGCCGAAGTTGCGCCATCCAGGGGCTGCTCGACGACGCGCTGGGGGAGGGGGCCGGCGGTGGCGCGCTAGGGTAGATGGGGCAGTCGGCGGCGTGCTGGGGGAGGGGCCGGCCGCTGGCACGCTGGGGGAGGGGCCGGTCGGCGGCGCGCTGGGGGAGGGAGCCGGGCGGCGGCGG